ACTGTCATAAGCAGTTAGAATATGAAAAAAAATGCCTGAAAAGTACAAAAATTACACAATCCCTCATATCCCAGAAATATCATTAGACTTAGAAAACAGCAGGAAACTGTGGCTTATAAGCAGGATAAAAATGAGTCAAAGCAAATAGATCAATAAATCATAAAAATTCTATAATCAGCATAAGAGAACTTTACAACTGCTAGTATAATTTATCTAGGGACTGAAGGGAGATTTGAAAAGTATTAAAGTGAAAACTATAAAGGAATAATTAAGTATAAAAAGAATCAACAAAAAAGTCAACTATAAAAAGGAAATAGGTAGAATTTATAAAGATATAAAAATAAAATATCTGAACTATATTTAACAACAGATTACACACTGCAGAAGAAGGTATCTTTCAACTTGAATGCATAGGAATAGAAACTACACTGAAAAAAGAAGATAAAAAGGTTAAAAAAACTTAACAGAGACTCAATAACCTTTAGAACAATAGCAGAAGTCAAAATATGTATAATTGGAGTTCCAAAACATGGAGAAAAAGAGACAAAAAATTATTTGAAGAGACAATAACAAACTTGTCTAGATTTGATGAAAAATAGCAAAACATATCTCGCATAATCTTAATAAAACCCAGTAAAAAGAATTATCACTGACTTTTTATTAGAAACAATGCAAACCAGGAGATAATGGAACATCTTTTTAGTACAGAAAGAAAATTTTAAAAAACTTCAACACAGAACTTCAAATCCAAATAAAAAATTATTCAAAGGAGTACAGATTAATGAAATTTGAAGCAAAAAAAAAAACTAAGGGAATATATTTTATTGTATCTATATTATAAGAAATTTTAAAAGAAACTCTTTAGGTTGCAGGAAAATAATACCAGAAGCAAACTTGGAACTGCAAAAAGGAATGAAGAGTATCAGAATAAGGTTGAGACATAATTATAATGAAAATTTAGACTAGAAAAGATCACAGCAGCAGCAGCAAAGAAGAGCATTATGGGATCTTAATGGGAATATGCTCTGTAAATCAAAAAAGATTGTGTGTGTGTGTGTGTGTGTGTGTGTGTGTGTGTGTGTGTGTGTGTGTATCAGAGATTGCCCATGTTCACACACACACATACACACAAACACACACATTCACATTTTCAATTTTTTTTTCTCATATAGGGTTTAGTTTAATTGAGGATTTAAGATATATTTTATCAGCAGAAGCATGGTTCAAAGAAACTCTGGTGCATAAAATCAATCTATAAAGTGGATAAAATAAAACTGTCCCTTAGTAACATGAATGCAAAAGCACTACTTACAATTTTTCTCTTCCTTCTCGATGAAGTTTCCTGAAGTTCTCTGAGAAACACTTAAACTCCGTCAGATAGCAAAGTATGAAGAGTGTTGATCTAATCAATTAATATTGCTAGTTTTGAAAAATTTCTACCTTTTACATTTCTAAAAATTCTTACCAAATTACAAATAAGATAGATACTTGAGAAGATAGGACTTTCAAAAACAAGCAAAATAATCAATAAAACAATCTACAATAAAAATAAAACTATTGGAGCTTTTTGTTGTTTTGCTTAGTCATAACAAATGACTGTTTCTTAGTTGTCTTCAAACCAACTTTATTGGTTATCAAAGTCCACTAGTCTAAGAAGTCACTTGAATTTGGCTAAATCAGTTATACAAGACAGCATAAGGAGCCATTAAAAAACAGAAGTAACAATAACAACGTAAAGAGAAATAACTTATTAACTACAAAAGGAACAAGAAACCATTCTTTAAAATTGTCCCTTACATGTAGAATGGTATAGTGGATGTTGGAGACTTAGAAGGGGTAAGGTGGGATGGGGATGAGAAATGAAAAATTACCTACTTGGTGCAATGTACCCTAGTTGTGTGGTGGCCACACCAAAAGCCCAGACTTTACCACCATGCAATTCATCCATATAACCAAAAACCACTTGGACCCCTAAAGCACAGTACTCCTAAAGCTATTAAAATGAAATAAAAATAATAAAAAATAAAATGGTGCCTCAATAGCAGGTTAACCAAGAATTTAGATATTCTTCAAATAGTTGTGTCTCTACACTGTCATAAGGATAAAAAATTAACACTTCTACTTTCATAATTTTTCATGGCATCAAATGTTTAGGCACATAATTTTCAAAACATTCATGTGGTATATTTGTATTTAAATTAGATTATTTATAAACTTGAAATATTGTATACACAGTCTAAGCTATAGCCATGAAGGACCTCTGTGTAAACTTTGTGTAACTGCTATTGAATATTAATATGGAAATTACTTACACAGTATGGATAATCTACTGACAACTTTTTTAATGGATGAGAGCAAAAGCCATGAAATGCCAGAGAGAGAATTAAGTATTATTCTATTAATATGAAGGTAGAAAAATTTAAAGCATATTGAAGATATATTTAGAAATTTAAGATAACATGTTTGAATTGAAAAAAGAGGTGTTATTATTACTGTTTAGTGCCATGAATTATATTCTTGGTGTTATGAGTTGGCATACTCCATTGCCATTTTACAAGTTTAGAAATAATTGTTAGTTATTGTTTCATTATTTGTCTTAGATAAAAATAAGAACCGTCTTTGTGAAATCATAGTAATTCATGTGAGTGCAAAATTTTTCTCATAAAAATGAAGATATCATGCAACAGTACCCTAAAACAAGTTTTTAAATCATTTCTTGTCCTTTAGTATGCTATATACTGTTAAATTAATTTTCCTTATCAATTATATATGTTTTGTTTCCCTTCTTTTACTTTCAAGTATCCTGTCCTAGAAACCTGACTAATCAGATCACTATAAACTAAAATTTAAAAATAAAGAGAAGTTTCCCAGCAACGGAACTCATCTAAAAGAACCCTATTCACTTAGAGTTTAGTATTAAGGCTCAGTAATACTGAGTTCATATTTCACTTATTTTTTTTGCAAAATGAAACCTTTATATTTAAAGTGAAAAAGACACAGGGATTTGTTTAAAGGCCGAATAAATATTCTGGACAGGATGACCAGAAGTTTATGTGTAAGAAAATTAGAAAATTAGTCTACTAAAATAAGAAACAAAATTTAAAATCCATTCAAATTTGAAAAACTAATGTATGGGTAATTATTTGTCATTTTTGAAATCCCAGCGTGAATAATTTTAATTTCTAATCCATAATATGTGAATAAAATTGAATTACAGAATTCTAAGTATACCAATAGAGTAATCATGAAGTCACTTCCTTTTTTAGAACATTTTTCTTAGCTCTCTGGTGACTTTGTATTTATTTTAAAATCTATCACTTTTTTCTCTTGATTTTCATGAATTATAATAATCTTAATGACCAGAGAAAAATATTTACTAAATGTATGCATATTTTATATCATTGCTGAGCTAGGTCAGAATTACATTCCAACATTCACAATCATTACAATCAAAATTATTTTTCTAAAACCATTTAGAAGTAGATGTAAATGTTATTTTTAAATTTTAAAAACTAGATTCATTTATACTTCTAGTAAAGATAAAAGTTAAATTTGAAAATCAAAAAGATTAATAAAGCCATAAAACTTAGCAATTACAAATCAATACTTTTATATCTGCAGCTTACAAAAATATTTCTGGGTTTTTTAAAGAATCAATTTGACTTCTTTGTAAACTTAATATGTGAAATGTCGTTTTATTTTCTAGTTCAGTCATTTTGAAATTTGACAAAGTGTTACTAGTTGAGAGGGTTTACAGTACATTTGAGTGTGTATCTGGAAAGAAGCAAAAACTTTAAAGGTTTTTAAACTAAGACTAGAAATTAAAAGGTAAGATAAAATGTATTCATTCTAAAATTTTTAAACAAGACAAAGTCCTTATTCAATTATTTATTGACATTACATTCAATGAGATACAGTGTATACTTTTAATTCAAAAACAAAGTTAGGCAATTTCTTTTTCAGCATATATATTTACTGATTCTCCTTGTCATAATTTGGTTCATCTAAACTCGAAATTTTTAGTAATATTGAGAATATACCAGAAGATGGAAGCTGAAATAAACACTCGTTTATAACTATAGAATTCTGATCTGTGCCCACTTTTATTTCTCTTTTTCTCATAAATATAAAATTAATAAAATAAAATACACATAATTACTGGTATAGTATTGTATGTTCAGAGTGAATTGGATAAAAACCATATGTCATAACAAGGTTATTTTTGTTCAACAAAAGGGATACTTTCCATTGTCTTTATTTTCTCTTTTTGTTCTTTGCCGCTTAGCATCTTTCTGTTGTCATTTTTTCCCAGGTTGCTCCTAGGGAGGATAGGTCACACAACTGAACACAAAAGGCGTGCATAATGTACTATGGCAGCAGACTATCACAGATATTTGTATTTTACTCTGTTTACTTTGACCCCTAGGACAACTCTTCTTGATGTTTTGACAGCTGCAGATAAGGGGAGGGAACTGATGTCTGCAAAGAAACACACACACACACACACACACATACACACGCGCGCGCGGGCAAAAGAGAGGTTATATATAACTGCAGTTGTATTCTCTATTTCTCTGTATTTGACTTTTTTTTGGTAGATTCCACAAATAAGTGAGATCATGCAATATGTGTTTATTTGTGTCTGGCTTATTTCACTTAGCATAACGTTATCGAAGTTCATCTAGATTGTGGTAATTGACAGGCCTCCTTTTTTAAGGCTGAATAATATTTCATTATATATGTGTGCACACATGTATACACAACAACTTCTTTATCCATTTGCCTGCGTTCATTTCAGCACTATTCAAAATAGCCAAGATAAGAAAAAGTTCTATTAATTCATGGATTGATATTTATGGAAAGGGTTGAATTACTCTACTATCAATATATTGAATAAACCAAATCAGCCCCCAAATCCAATTGTACACCTAACCAGTTTGCAGCAAGAACAATATACAGAAGAAAATCTTATAAATTCTCTGTTTCTCTCTCTCTCTCAGATTTCTGGACCAGTCAAGAATTTTACTGGTTGCATAGCAGTTATAGAAATCAATAACTGGGAATCTTTCATTCCATCCAAAGCAGTGAAAAAAAATCACATTGCTGATTGCAGGTAAAATATTACTAGTGAGTTTTCAAATAACTTGTTAAAATAACCACACCAAAAATTATTTCCAAATGAAATAATCTAATCAAGATTACAATATATTTTGTTTATTGTTTCACATCTCCACATTCTACTTCGCTCTCTTACAGACTATAGAGTTTTTAAGCTATATCCCATTAGGTTGGATTATTGTATAAAATGAGTATCTCCTTCTTGCTTTATAAGATTTGTCATATCAACCAACAAATGATCAGTTAGTCATGATCAGTAAATGTCTGGCAGAGCTAGTTTAAAAAATAAGCATACTAACAGTCATAGATGTGGTATATTAGTTAGAGTGTTAAAATGTTTTCTTTCTCCCAATTCTCAAAAAAGTTGTTCTTGGGTTTGAATTTCTATTACTGGTGATACAGTTCTTTCAGACACTCTGCTTCTGACTACAGAAATCTCTAAATGTGATTGACAGTGGCATATTTGAGAAAATATTAGGCATTAAAGCACTGGTATGAAGTAGTTAAAATATTCTCTTTTTTTAATTGTTAGTGGAGAAAAGGATCATTTTGGAACTTTGTGGTCAATTGGAAAAGCATAGTTTAGATGGCATTGTGAGGCAAGATGTTTGATCAAAGGAGAGCAAAAAGCTCACATACTTACCTTGTGAGGTTGTAACTTGTAGTTTTGATTTGCCTGCCCCTAATTATTTGGTGTTATTGAGCATCTTTTCCTGTACATATTGGCTATTTGCATATCTGCTATAAAATTTCTATTTGAATCTTTTGCTAGTTTTTGAATTTTTTATTGTTGTTGTTGAGTTTTAAGAGTTCTCTATATATTCTAGATCTTAATCTCTTACCAGATACATGAGTTGCAAATATTTTCTTCTATTCTATGGGTTGCCTTTTTACTCTGAGGTTACTGTCTTTTGACACATTTTTTTTTAATGTTCAAGAAGTATAACTTGTCTTTTTTTTTTAATTGACTTTTTTTTTAATTGACTATGTGTTTGGTGTTATATCCAAGAAATCACTGCCAAATTTAATTTCACAAATCTTTGCTCTATTTTTTTTCTAAGAGCTTTCTAGTTTTAGGTCTTATGTTTAGTTATTTAATCCATTCTGAATTAATTAGTATATATGGTGTTAAGTAAGATTCAAGCTTCATTTTTTTGCATGTGGGTATCCAGCTTTATCCAGGATCTTGTATTGATAAGGCTGTCATTTGCCTGTTAGATAGCTTAGTCCCATTGCCAATCACCATGTATGTAAGTGTTTAGTTCTGGACTTTTTATTCTACTCCATAGGTCTATACGTTGGTCTTTGTGCTAGTACCAAAAGGTTTTGATTATTGTACCACTGTAGTTAAGTTCTGAAATTAGGAGGTGTGAGGCCTCCAGTTTTGCTCTTATTTTTCAAGATTATCTTGTATATGTAGAGTCCCTTGAGATTTCATATGAATTTTAAAATGGGATTTTTGGTTCTGCAAAAATCATTATTGGGATTTTGCTAGGGACTGTACTGAAACTATAGATTACTTCAGTAATATTAACATCTTAATAATTTTATTCTCTAATCCATGAACATGAAATGTGTTTCCATTTATTGATTATGTCTTCTTTATTTCTTTCAGCAGTATTTTGAGTTCCCATTCTACAAGACTTTCACTTCCTTTGTTAAATTACTTTCTCAATATTTTATTGGTTTTGATACTATTTTAAATAAAATTAATTTTGTAAGTTTCTTTTCAGATTATTCATTGTTAGGGTATAGAAGAGCAACTGATTTGTATATTTACTTTGTATCCTGCTATTTTGTAAAATGTATTGATTAGTTCTGATTAGGTGATTTGGGAATTTGGGGGTTTTTCTACATATAAAATAATATCATCTGCATAAGAAATTATTTTGTTTCTTTTTTCCAATTTAAATGCATTTTATTTCTTTTTCTGGCCCAATTGTTCTAGCTAGGACTTCCAGTACTGTGTTGAATAGAAGTGACAAAAGTATGCAGCCTTACTTTGCTCCTGACCTTATATGAAAAGCTTTCAGTCATTCCCCCTTGAGTATATTTGCTGTGAATTTTTTACATATGACTTTTATTATATTGAGATAGTTTCCTTCTATTCCTAGTCTGTTCAGTGTTTTTTTTAAATCATGAAAGAGTGTTGAATTTCGTCAAATTTATTTTCTGCATTGAGATGACCATGTGATTGTTTTCTTTAGTCCATTAATGTGGTGTATTACATTGATCAACTTTCATATGTTGAACTGAACTATCCCTGCATACTGGGAATAAATTTCACTTGATCACCAAGTGTAAAACTTTCAATATACTGCCAAATTCAGTTTGCTAATATTTTCTAGAGAATTTTTGCATCAATGTTCACCAGAAGTATGGGACTGACGTTTCATTTTTTAATAGTGTTTTTGTATGACTTTGGTTTCAAGATGATACCTCATGGAATGGATTAGAAAGTGTTTCCTCCTCTTCAAATTTTTGGAAAAGTTTGAGAGGAAAGTTGTATACGTTCTTCTTTAAATTTGATATAATTAATCAGTGAAGCTATCAGGTATAGGTTTTTCTTTGTTGGGAAATTTGTGACTACAAATTCAATCACCTTATTAGTTTTACATTTATTTTGATTTTTTTTGTTTGTTTCTTCATGATTTAGTATTGATGGGGTTTGTGTTTCTGGCAGTTTGTCCTTTTTATCTGGGTTATTCATTTTGTTGGCATATAATTACTCATAAAACTTTTTATAATTCTTTTTATTTCTGTAGAATTAGTAGTAAAATCATTACTTTAATTTCTAATTTTAGTAATGTAAGCCTTCTCTCTTTTTTCTTAGTCCATATAACTAAAGGTTTATTGATTTTTTGACTTTTTCAAACAATTAAGTTTTCTTTCATTGGTTTTCTTTATTGTTTTCTTTTCTTCATTTTATTTATCTCTACACTGTTATCTATTATTTTCTGTTTTCTAATGTTTGATTGATTGATAGATTGATTGATTGATTTTAAAGATGTGGAGTACAATTCAGGATCAGCTATACAATTGGTCATCAGAGGTAAAGTTTGGGCCTACGTTTGGTCCCCACTTTGCCTGGTTTGAGATCAGGTACCCTTATTAATGTTATGTACCCCTCTGCCCCCAGCAGTTTCCCACTACTGCCCATCCCTTTCTTACAGTATTATGGTAAATATTCAGGGTCTGCTTATGAGTGAGAACATATAGTACTCAATTCTTTGAATTTAGTTTCTACATTTTTTATTTTCTAGTTTATTAAGTTTTAGTTAACTCATTGATTTGAGATTTTTTTAAAAAGTGTTGATAGCCATACATTTCTCATTTAGCACTGCTTTCACTGTACCTCATACATTTTGGTATGTTTCATTTTTATTTTCTTTCAGCTCAAAGTGTTTTTTAATGTATCTTGTAATTTATTCTTTAATCCATTGGCTTTTCAAAACTGTGTTGTTTAATTTCTACAAATTTGTAATTTTTCTAGTTTTACTTCTGTTATTAATTTTTAACTTTACCCCATTGTGATAAGATACTTTATTTGACATCTATAGTGTTAGTCTATTGAGACTTAATTTATGACCTAATATATAGTCTATTCTGGAAAACGTTCCATGTGCATTTAAGAAGTTTGTATGCTGTTGTTGGTGGGTAGTATGTTCTATAGATGACTGTTAGATCCAGTTGGTTTATTGTGTTAAGTCCTCTATGTCCTTACTTATAATCTGTTTGATTGTCCATTCATTATGAGAATGAGCTATTTTTTTCTCTCTTCAATTCTGTCAGTTTTTGCTTTATATGTTTTAAGTGTCTACTATTAGTTGTCTAAGTGTTTATAAGTATTATATTTTTTTGCTGTCCTGAACCTTTTATTAATGCATAATTGGCTTTGTTTTTAATGTTTTTGATTTAAGTTCTATTTTGTCTGACATTAGTATGGTAACCCTACTCTCTTTTGTCTACTCTTTGCATAGTATTTCCTTTTCTATCCTTTTACTTTTAATCAAGTGTCACTGAACTTAAAGTGGGTCTCTTGTAAAGAGGATATAGTTGAACATCTGTTTTTATCTGTACTGCAAGTCTCTGTCTTTTGACTAAAGAGTATACTCCATTTACATTTAAAGTAATTACTGATGAGGAGAAACTTACTAAAGTGGTTGGAGAAATTCTGGTCACACAATATATGTTTGGAAAGGATAAGGATGTTTTAATAGACTTTCAAGATAATTGTAAGTACTCTTGTTTGATATTACATCAAAACTTGATAAGAAATAAATTATTGTGTATTAGTTGCAAAGTAGAATGTAAAACCCAATCAATGTGCATTTTAATCTATTAACTTAAAATTCATTTTTCTGTCTTGCACTTTGAATTGAACTTTTACTCATGCACAATTTTGTACTATCAAAATATTGGTGTTGTGAGTTTTTCAACTATTCTAAATATCAATATAAAGTATCATATTTGTTAATATCCCCTCCAATATCATCAGAAAAGTCTTTATGTATTATAAAGCCATCAATCTCACCTTGGTGGATAAGACATTTTCAAAATTCTAATATTTGCTTGAAAGCTCAAATTTTATCATTGGCAACAAATACTGTTACTTGTTTTCCTTTAAGTGACAGACTTTTTCTTTTTTTTTTTTTTTTGAGAAAATGTCTGCCGTATACCAAAGATTGTGTAATGATAGCTTGAATGTCAGTTATTCTTTAAAGTAAAACTGTGTTTAATGAAAATAAGCAGCTATCTGATCTCAAACATTAAAAAATTACTAAAGTGCTTCTCCTTGAGATAATCACTATACTTCAGTATGCAGCAGAAATACTTTATGCATAATTCTCTTTTCATCACATATATTATTTTTAAAAGCAAATAACACGTTATGATTTAATAACATTAATAAGTCTGCCACTTTTTCAAATACATCCTAATTATAAACTATAAGTGATAATACAATAACTGCTAGGACAATGTTACCACAACTAA